TTGGTTGCTTAGAACAACGGCACAATAAAATGCTATCTAGCAACTGCAACTGAATATACAAGAGTCAGATGTCATGTGCATCAGTACTATGTTTCCAGTTTGTGATAGGCGCACACTACCTCGCTGCATGGTAAGTAAGTACCAGGGTCCTTCAACTGCGCCTCATTGGTCATTTGTGGTATCCACCCAAATGTAGAGTTCCTTTTGCTTGTATTATTCTACGCTACTGCTATAATGGCTTTATCTACTGAATTCTGTCCAGAATATGAACATCCATTGTACTGACACGATCTCACAGATTAGTAAGATAATCCATCCATTCTCATTTGCATACTGCTGATCTGGGTGGTACTGTATGATGAAGTTGTACTTTTGCAAAGTTTATATCCAATGCACAATCAAAATTTCAGATTTTTGAGGACCATTAGTCATTTCAGTGATGCATGGTCCACTTCAATTGTTAATTTAATATCATAAATGTAGTGGCAGTAATGTTTAACAAATACTACAACTGCGCGATTTCCCTTCTTTGCTGTACAGTATCGACAGATAAGGAACAGTTAGCTTACTCGTGAAAAAAACACTCCAGTTCCACTATCAGTGGCATCTGTATCTAGGATGAATGGTTAATCTTAACAACGTTAAGCAAACACTATTGCTTCAACTAAGGCACACATCAAAGACTGGAATGTTTCTTGACATCATAGTGTTCATAGAAAGTAGACATCAACTTTTGCCAGTGCATCCAGTGGTGCAGCTATTTTGAAAAAACTGGCCACAGATCGATACAAAATTTACAAAGCTGCATATTTCTCTCTTATTAGAAGAACAGGTCGAAATGGTCAATTTTTATTTGCAGGATAAGAGAACAATCCATATCTACTAGCCATGTGACTAAGAATTCCACTTATATATATGTATGTGTCTTCCATGTATCAATTCCAACCCTGCATCCTTGATTCACTGGAATACTTTTTAGTTTCTCAATTGCTACTTGAAATATCCAACCAGAGAAGAGTACGTCACTTACACAGATGAAGTCCTCTAACTGTAAACTCCATGATTACACAAACCAAATAGCATGATGCAGAATTTATAAAATCCTTAACACGTGCTAAAGGTGCAATATTAGGCCTACTTTTAATGCCCAGTTTTACTTGTTAGTAATTGGAAGAAATATATAGTGTGTTGAACTAATGGGTGTCTTCCAGTGCATTTAAATATTTATCTGTGCATGGTAAAGGAAAGGTTTTGACATTGTATTGCAATATTCACCATATAAATCTACATAGAAACTCGGAATTTCTTCTTTTTGATAATTGTCGTTAGAGACAACCACATTCTCAACAACTACTTGATTTCAGAACTGATAATATTCTTGGTGCTTTAAGGAGGCCTGCAAAGGTTTGTCATAAAAGTGATTGGCACCTAATGTTTTGTTGTGATTTCACTGGCTGCTGGGGCTGGGCAATAATAATAGTTATACCACAATTTCAAATCAGAAAAAGAGGTGCTGGTACAGTATCCCATAATCTGTAATGACTATTCTAAATGCCATGTTCAATGTAGAGAATCCCTAAACTCATACCAACTTGTATGTATATATTTGTCACTCTTTAAGATAGGCTTGCCTCACTTCAGGGAGTAGACATAGACACAAGATCAAACTGGTATAAGTCGCTATATTTGACAACCATTGCCCCATATAATCTTTACTTAAACAAAAGGATTAGTAAATGTTCAAGGCCCTTAGGCATCTAGTTAACGATAATGTCCTAATTACATGAAGAACACATGTACAAATATTTAGAAAAATTACCTAGATATACCTTACTACAGATATATTTTATACAAGCTATGACTAGGGGAAATTAACAGTTATCTCAGCCGTGACAGGTCCGAAATATAGTAAACATTATTAGAAATTTCAGCCTGAGAGGCACCTTATACACACATGAACTAAATGACAAAATCAGATTTCTGGACATCAGGTATCACAGTTTGAAATTTTGAGCTACCAACCAGACAGATGGCAGCAACACCCACTACCACAAAAACTTTGCCCAGCTCTTTACCAAATAACATAAATGACTGTTACTTTTATGACAGGTTCACAGTTCAAATTACATAGCATGTTTAGAGGCTTAAGCATTTACATTTTCATAGAACTTTACATCACTTGATCAAATTACTGACAATTAACTGTAAACCTTATTCTTATTTAACATAACTATAGAAAAGATTCAAGTTTGTTTCAGATTTTCATGCAAAGCTACATAAAGGGCCACCGGTGCATAGTCATTCCTTTCAACTGAAACAACAGAGGGAAGGCAGCTAGTGAACAGCTCTCACTGTCTTTTACAACTATTATATGAACAAATAGTGGGATCTTACTATCACTCTTATAGTTACTGTCCCCAAGTATGAAGTGCATTTTTGGGGGGTCAACAGAATGTGACCTATGAGTTATCAGATTTACAGTATAGACACACTAACCACTAGGCCCACCCAACCAAAAAGTTTAAGCAGCATTGTATTTCAAAAAATTAATAGTCTAGAACTTTTATTAAAAATTTCAATTTTACAAACTCACTTGTCATCAAAGAAGTATTTCCTCTGTATTTACATATTTTCCAATCAAATACAGATTAACCATTTTAATTTAACAAGACCTGTATAATTTGTAGTGTGTGTGTCTGTGTATATATATATGTAGCACAGCATTTCACATAAACCTTTGGCTATCACAGATCCTGCCTGGCTGATAGATTCTGGTAATGAGCAAAATGCCTCCTTGTAGCAGACAAACGATAGATATGAAATGCCATTTAAACTTTCAAACATGACTTTAATCTCTTTATTAGGTTTGGAAAACCTCAATGCTTTGCCAACTTAGCTGTTTTAAACCACTGCACAAGGTTTTTCAATTAGGTGTGAAAAAGTATTTTAGACATACTTTTGGCTGACATAAATTCACACAGCTAATGAGTTCTAGTGTTGAACATAATGTCACTTGGACAGTGACTTGATATTTTCAAAGAAAAAACTGATTTTTCAACATGCATCAGATAGACAGGCCCACTAATAACTGCATATTTACTCAGGTAATACGGAGAGTAATTCTGGTGTGCGTGTGTGAAATAATAAGACTGGACAAAGTTGGCAAAAATGAAAAAAAAAAGTCTTTATTATTAAACAAACAACATTGTCAAACTAAATATGTCTTTACTCAGAGTTACAAGAATAACTGACTTATGAAAACATGCACAAATTCAACAGGCAAACTTGTTTTTTTCCCAGTCAATAGCTTCATCATGTGACTTTTGTTCTCTCACAGTATTGGTTGGGAGTTGCATTTAGACAATGTCAATTCAGCCAACAAAGGATATTCAGTGCTAATCCTTTCAACCTAGATGCCATATATTATAGCAATGTCCTCTCAGACAGAACATATATTATCTACTAAAGAACAATGCAATCAGACCAGGCTATTTTAACAAATTTCTGGATCATGTTTATGCCATAACTGCATACAAATCAAATAAATTAAAATTAAAAAAACATTCCTATATAACTAAAGCAGTTAGAAAACATATGTCTACATATCATAGATTTATAGCAGACACAAGACAGACCTAACCTGCTATCTTTACACTCTTCTGTTCAAAGTCTATTATAAACTAATTGAAAGGAATACTGTAAATGAAACATCTAGATTCAAGCATAATATTCTTTTATTAGATATGAAAAACGCCATAGTATATGTTACAAAAGTATATCATATAAGCTTTTTACATCTTACATAAATCTTGCATCTATTCAAATATTATATTGTAATAATTTTAATTGTTTTTTTTTTTATTGGTTTCTCAACTCAGATTTGAATGTAGAGCCTCTCAGACACCAACAGTGATCTACGCCTGATGTGATTAGAACTTGCTAGTATGACACTTTTTAAATTTCAAACTATCACAATCTTCCCATGTAACATACAAGGTTCATTCTCAGGCCTTGTATCAGGGGCCACTAGTTGAGTGCCAGTTTTTCTTTTAGATAATCTAATTTTTTGAGTATCACACAAGCAGGATTTGAAATCAGGATCTCTTATATTCCAGGTAAGTGCTCTACCTACTGAGCAAAAATTGTTAACCACTAACAATTGCAAGTACTTTTCATCAACTAATACAATCTTCCATCACTATAAACATGGACACGAGCAGAATGCCAATATTTCATTTTAGTAATTTAAATTTTCCTTTATTACTTTCTCAGCTTAGATTTGAAAGTGAGACCTCTTACACACCAGGCTAGTGCTCTATCAATCGAGTTATAGGGTTAACTGCTTGCAGCTTGATAGTATGGCCCTATTTAACTACCACATTTTTCCTTTCTCAGAAAGGCCTGTCCCCAGTCCTTAGTCTCAGTGTTGAGGGATGAACATTAGTTGGGTGCCAGTTTTTTTTGATAATTTTTAAGTCTCCCAATAGCAGGATTTGAGGTTGGAATCTATTATATGCAAGACAAGTGTTCTATCAACCGAGCTAAAGGATTAACCCACTAGCAATTGAGTAAGGTATTTTTCAACAACTGACACAAACTACCATATATTTCTATTATCACAAACATGAACCATGTTGGACACTAGTTTTTTTTTTGTGATAGTTTCATTTCTTTTATTACTTACTTGGCTTGGATTCAAATGCAAGATCTCTCACAAACCAAGCATGTGCTCTATCAGCTGAGCTAAATGGTTATCCCCTTAACAGATGTTAGTATGGCACTTTGTAACAACTCAAAGTATTACAATATTATTCTAATTTAACAAGTTACTTAATTTTTTTTTAAACTATAAAAACACACAAAATTTTTTTTGTTTATCGAATAATTATTTCATTGATACAATGTACATAATTCTAATCAACCTGTCAACTAGCCTCTAGACTACATGGCCACAATACAAGCATATCAAACCACTTCAACTATGGCTATCTGTTCCACAGTTCAACAAGGCTTCACTCAATTAATCAAGTTATCAAAAAGGGAAATCAGTTGATAATAAAATAAGCCATGTCATATGAGAAGGTGACAGGTGTAATATCTTGTTCAGCTCTTTATCACATCTACTTTGAAGTTGTTCTTATCTATGAAATTGCCCACCAAACAGCAAGAATTAAGATATCCACAATCTCATAACCTGAGAAAAATTACACATTTAGACAGTACCTTCTATAGATCAATTATTGCTAACATCTAGATCTTCAAGGGAGAGAGAGGTTTGTTTTATGTTGTTGAACTATTCAATTCATAGAAGCTTACTGTTGATGTTTAGGCAGCACTTTCTACTTGTTTGAAATAATCCTAGGCATTTAAGTAGTATGAAACATACTGTTTTGAAAATATAGATACAGGTACTAAAACATTAGAGATTAAGAATTGCATACAAAGAAAATTTTACTCCTAAATATTTCTTTTAAAAGACTATCTGCAAATGAGAAGCCAATTATGATCTATAATTTTTTTCCTACTTACAATGCATTTTTTCTGCTCAAAAAAAAAGAAAAACAGTAGACTTTTTGTAAGAAAAATAAAATACAATAAACTTTTGGTAAGAGAATGCACATTTCTCAAAAACAAAATTATTGGAAAATGATAATTATCCCTTTATGTTAATTTTTCTGAGATTTATCAATGAATTTAAAGTAGTCAAACTTAAGACATGTAAATACTGCAAACATTTCTTTTGGCTGTTTATTTTTTGGTAAACACAAAGCTACAGAAGTATCAAAACAAAACCACAAAGTTTAGTATTGTAATCCTGCAGACTTACCATTAAACCACAGGGGAATGTTATTTTTGAATCCTAGTTAAAAAAAAAAAAAAAAACCCTGATAAATTCATTATAGTTTTATGGTCTAAATACCTGAACATAAAATGTTTGGTTTTCATCACGTGATCTGTATTTTAATGAAATGCTCATGATAATTATTTTAACCTACATGTGAAAACCTTTTGTTTGCATGTATTTTTTCTTTATAGAGCAAACATCATGAACAGCAAATATATGCACCTTGTTATAACAACGTGGATTTTGACATCAACTTTAAGTAGTTGTTCTGTTCTTCCATTTTTCCCAGTAAGTATTTATAGATGACTTTCATTGAGTAAACAAGTGATGAAATTAAAAATTCTTTGAAGAAAACATCACTTTAGTGTTTAATAACAAAATATTCAATATACAGATATTTATGTTATAAGAGACCACAAAACTATAATTAATTAAACATTACAGAAGACCAGTTCTTAACTTTCCAAATATAGTTTAACCATAGTTGTTACAGTACCTCTGCAACATGTTAAAAAAAGGAGAAAAAAAAAAGATTCACAGAAAGCAAGCATGATAAATTTCTTTTAATTATTATTTGCTTTGAATCACTACACCAAACACTAAGTAAAAAAATTCTCAACAACATTTTTGATTTGTTTAGTTTGAGAAAAGTAATAATGCATCTAAAAATACTCAAATGATAACTTTTTGGTTGTTCAGTCACCACAGAAATTTCTAATCTTACAAAATATAAATATACAATACAAAGTTTATAGAAATAAAAATGATCATAACCACAGTGAAATAGAATTTACTACAATTAATGTAAGTGATATTGCTTCAATTTCTACATGCAAATAATTTTCATACAGGCTTTTTTACTGAGAAATATTTATCATTACATGTGATTTTCACTGAAATATGAAAAATTTAAACATTATTATTATGACTAGTTCTGGATAGCAATTAAGCTAAGTGAATAAAAATACTTCTATTAAGGTGAGGCTGATAACAACTTGGAAGGCACAAATAGCAGCTTAGGCATTCTAAAAACTGTTGTTTTAACCAAATTTCAAAACAGTTAAACAGACATATAAAGAATCCTATACAATATGTTTGTAGTATGTAGGCATAACATACATTTTCTACACCCTTAGTTTTTGTGTCCATACACACATTTTCAAAATTTCTTTACACATTAAATATTGTCTTCATATAGAAAGTCAATCAAGAGAAAACTAAGTTCCTCTCACACTAGTTACTCATAGAACAGGGGCATTCAGATAGGGTGTCACATACACTTTCTCATGGAAAAAATGCTTTAACATAGAGCATACTGTACAGAAATACAGTAATCTATCCATTGGGCAAGTCAGGTCAAGTCTCAAGGATATAACATCCCTTACTGCAAAGTCTGTACCCTAAGAAGAATGACCATGTTGTTATTATGTAATGACATTTTTTCTCAGTCTGGGATAGGATGGTTTTGAAAACATAAATACACATATATAAATCAGTAAACACCATACAATACTCTTTTTTTTTAACTTTGTTTATGTTGAAATAAAGTTTCACTGTTTAATTTGTGTCCAGTCTCTTCTTAAAATTCAGTCAAGGTTGAAGAATACACAATTTTGATCTGTAAAACATCTTGTTATTCTGTGATTCCTATTCAATTACGTAAGGGATATCAATGAACCTGAGAATATCACAAGGCCATTAATTACTAAAAGTCAATTATATAGAATATCAAGTTAGACAAAACCTCATTAGGGATTTTTGAGTAGAATTTTAGGGCATGTCTGCTTATTTACAGTTGCCTTTCCAAACAAATCATGGCAGTGTGATTTCTTACTATTTCAAAATACAATTACATTCTTACTGGGATTGAAACATTATCTTACTTTATTCATATATCAAACAAAATAAACTGTTCTACACTAACAGTGTCAACTATACAGTTAATTGCACTATATGGTAAAACTTTTACTTTTTAACTGGCATTAATATGAACAAAAACTATTAAAGTTCTCAATAGAAATATTATACTAACATTATCATCATACAGGTAATTGTAAACAATGCATGTGATTAATGGTAAGTTTTTTCAGATAGCTGAAGACCATCAATGCTCTGACAATAAAGACTGTGAAAAAGATCATTGCTGTGTTGCTGTTGATGCATTCTTCTTCCCATTACCAACTACAGTCACATGTAAGAAAATTACATTATGGTTTATGTGCAAAAACAGTATTTACACAGTCAATCTAGTAAATTGTTTTTACATCATTAAAACTTTTTCAGCAAATGCTCTTCTCTCTGTATAATTTATAAAACAAAGTATTGGTCTGTAATTTATTAATCTAAATTTGGTTCATTATCATAAAATTTGACTTTTATTAGCTTACACTGCTATGTTACTGCACTGCATATTTACTAAAAAATCGTAAAACTGTTTAGTTATTTACTGCAAATAAATCAGAATTTGTTTTTGTTACTACTTGAACACTTTCATGTAAATTTTTGGAGAGCCATTTTGATATTAGGATAAATTATACTAAAAATGACACTCATGCTAGCATGTAATAATAAAAAAACTGATCAAAATACTGAGTTAAATGTAATAAGTAAATAAACAACTTCATTAAACAAGGATCATCAAATTTGAAAAGGATGAATTCAGCATAAACATTAATTAACACAAAAACCAAAATCAATAACAGATATTTAAGACAGTAATGGGTTTATACTATCAGATTAATTCTAAAGCTCATGAAAAAGAAGTAGGACTAAAAGAAGACAGACCAATGTGCTGTTGAAATATGCAATATGTTCCCCCGAAAATAAATTACTTCATCATGCTTATAAATCATTGTTTTACAACTTATTATCATTAGAGCTAGAAAGATATTCAATTTAGTTTTTTAACTATTTTTATAACAAAAACTTGTTCAGTGTAGGATTACACAAATAAGTCTTAATATAATGGTGTGCTACATGAAGATAAAAGTTAAAAAGTATTGATAAATACACAAAAACTTTTATTACAATGTAAGTGTGTTATCAATTTACAAGTATACCCATACATTTGGTAAGGTGTTGTTTTTATATTATTGCAGTTATGATGTATTATAATCATGCAGGATGAAGTTTCAAATAAATTTACCTCTCTCTTTCTTATAGAACAAACTAAAGAAGCTATAATTGATTATCAGTATTTATTTAGTTTACAATGTATTCTTTTGGTGCAGGGAAATGTATGCCTCTGGGAGAAGAAGGAAATCGATGTAATAGTCTAAGCTCACAGTTCTGTCCCTGTAAACCTGGCTATCACTGCCGGGCAATAGGTGTATGGTTTTTTGGAATTGGCAAATGTGTTCCAGTCAGTGCTTGAAATTCACAGAGAACTAAGTGGAAAACAAACCAAACAACTTACAGAATTACTTCTAACTTTTGGTGTATATTTTTTTTCACTCGGATAAAAAACAAAATCATTTTGAATATTTATTACCAAAACATGGACTTTACTTGAGACTAATTATTTTTCAACGAAAAAATTCCTTACAGTTGTTGAACTGTAGTTGGTTTCTATTGAAATATGTTAAGAAACAAAAAGTTTATATATAATAAATAAAAAATTTATTCAACAATGTTTTAAGCAGATGCTCTTCATCAAGCTTGACTAATTTAGAATAATTAAAATATATATGTCATATCTCATGAAACATAAACAGTGAAACAACTAACTTTTTACTGTAGGTTGATCCATAATTTACTAGATACTTTATTTCCTGAATTAAATGGACTTTGCTTATCATGACACTTTCTCTATAGTCAACTATTCTGGCTAAATATTTAAGTCTCCCATATGCACAAACACATAGGGTAGGAGCACATGCAATTTTCTAATAAAGATAACATTCGGGGCATCTCAAGTGATACTATAACATTTCAATTTTTATTATTTTTTTTAGGTTGACTTGTATGCTTCATCTTACCCTTTTAGAACACAAATCATTAGTGAGAACTGCTCCCTTTTCTGGTATTTTAGACACTTAAAAAACAATAACAAAAAAGTGATATAAGAACAGCGAAAAATGTCTACAATTACTTACATTTCATACCAAAAATATTTCTGATGCTTACATCCAAACTGTTTTAATAAAAATTAAATATTGCAAATGATCCCATTGATTTATACCTATAATGTGAACAAATCTGTTTAGTGTACATTTACTTTATTATCCCTAATGTTCTGTTGAAATTAAGCTATATCTTTATGGATGTTAACAAGTGGCTTGCAGTATTACCATAAGACTACAAGTATCCCATTTCAATTATCTCTTAAAATAAAAATAGTTCTCTTTCTTCAATTTATATGAAAATAAGGTATGTCATATATGATGGTCTGCAAAATGAAACATTTGTACTATATGAAAAACTTAAAGCTTTTAAATACAAAATTATGAGATATACTACAAAATTAATTTAAAATACACATTACAAAACAGAGCTTAAGACAAGTTGTTTTAACTCAATCTTTTTCTGAGTAATATAAATATTAAGTTTAAGCTTCAAACATTTCATCAATGACCGAAGAAGTGATGGTGAAATAAACTAAAATAAATAGCTTGAATATAGTAAATGTTTGATTTTGGATATTCATGCAAAACTATTGAAGGGCAATCTGCTTAAGCCTGATAGGCTAGAGGTAAAGCAGATAGTCAACAGCACCCATCTCCAACTTTTGGGCAACATTTTTCTGACCAAATAGTAGAATTTGTCCACCACCCCTATAAAACACATATAGCCCCAAAGTGCAGTGTTTTTTTTTTCTTTGATGGTAACAAGATTCAAATGATGGACTCACAAATCCATAGTCCTGTACACTAATGAGAAAGCAACTAAATATTCCCATATTTAAGTGGAGGAGAGAATTATCGTACCAAGCCTTCTCTTCATCAAATCTGTTTATCAATAAGAATACATTTGTACTGAAGAAAAATCTATGTTCTAGTTGAAACTGAAGAGGAGAGGAAGTGATACAGATTTGTTTATCAATAAGAATACATTTGTACTGAAGAAAAATCTATGTTCTAGTTGAAACTGAAGAGGAGAGGAAGTGATACAGATTTGTTTATCAATAAGAATACATTTGTACTGAAGAAAAAAATCTATGTTCTAGTTGAAACTGAAGAGGAGAGGAAGTGATACAGATTTGTTTATCAATAAGAATCCATTCTCTACTGCAATAAAATCTATATTCCAGTGGTAACAGGAGAAAGATAATACTAATAACATTACTAATTTGTAATTGTCACAATAAAACATGGCCAATAACCATTAGCTGCTGTAGCAATTGCTATTCTTTTTTATGCAACAAATGTTATCACTAAAATGAGTTATGCTTTGTGAACAAAGTGTGATGCATATACTGCAAATTATTTAGTAGGTAAGATAATTATACATGAAAATTGAAAAACAAAATACAGACACACGTAGAAGTCTGACCTTTCACACTATCTACAATTTAAACTACACATATGTGAATTTGAAATGACATATTAAGGACAATTACAAACTTTTAAAATACAAATTAGTTTTTCCTGTGTCATTTATACCATTACCCATCAGACAGCAAGCTTTGACTTTTTATGTACTTCAGAGGCTTCCCTACCCATAATGCAAACTATTTTATTCAAAATATATTGGGAAACTATGCATCTAATCATGTAATGAATTGTTTTTTTCCCCCAACATAATATTTAGCCATCACTTGTTGCAATTTTTATATCAAAAAGATAAGTTTAAAGTGTGCCAATTTTATAATGCATTAAGTTTTTTGGTTTGGGAAAGCACTGCATTTTTGATTGAAAGTAATATTTTAAAGTTGGTGAAGTAAGAGTGAGACACATAACATGGGTTTAACACTACTGAAAAGATGTTCTTAATAACAAACTTTCTTTACTATTTTAGAAGAATCTAACAGACTAAATGAACACTAACTATTATAATGGAAACTAAACAGACAAGATGCAGGTTTCTTGACAGATGAGTAGAAACAGCATTTTCAGTGTGCATTGTTTGCTATTAAAATTGTTTAATGTGTAGTTAAACCAGTTTTCTGTCTATTAAATTTTAAATGTGTGTTTTGTTGTAAAATACATTTTCTTTTGGGATTAAAGTCAAATGATAATACACAAACAGCATCAAGTAATGTAGTTATATTATACTTTCTTAATTATCTACACCAAGGTATCTGAGCACATAACATACATGTGTCATATTACATTAGAAGCAGCCTTACATTTTCACATACATCTATTTGAAATGGAATGGTGTATAATAAAATACATAACATGGTCCCACTTTTATAGTTAAAAGCAGGGGTGAAATTCTCAAAAACAAAAAAAAGTAGAGGTACTCAGCTGGGTGAAGTGTACCAGTTTTTGAAAAAGAAAAAAATCTAAAAGTAAACATACAAAATGATAAAGCAGCTCAAATAAATCCTGGTACTTGTATTGCCTTAAAAAATAAGATCCAGTACTCAGTATCGGTGACTATCAGCAAAATTTCACCCCTGGTTAAAAGTGTGATAAAACATAAAAATAATTAAATAAAAGAATTTCCTTCAGATTTTTTGTTGTCACATTCTTCTTAGTTACAGTATATTAACTTAAGATGTGTATATACAATTGAAACACACCAAGACAAAAACAAAACAATATTAACTTAATAGTTAAAAAGAGTAACAACAATTTGAATTTTGGTATTGTGCAACCTTAGTTCAAATCAGTCTACTAAAAATCCAAATCAAGTAAGTTAAAAAGTATGTTTGAAAATAGATTTAGAAATCTTTGTTAAACATCAAGATGGGTTTTCTAAAAGTAGATCCAAAAACACTTTCTATTGAACATTCATTACATTTTTTTATAATTTTTATTATCACTAAATCTTATTTATGAATTTTCTGTGTATTGTTCTAGGACAACAGCAGAATGTTGCCATTTATCACACAAATGCATGTGTTATTTACTCAATTCACGATATAAAAAAAACAAAAGCAACATGATAATGAGATCAAAATTATTCTTTCATTACCAGTTCTCCTCATCCTTAAATCATAATGGATGTCGTAATATATATATATATATATATATAGCTGACATAATAGTACAGATCAACCACTACCATTTCAAAACCATAATGACCCCCCCCCAAATAATAATTAATTTTTTTTTTATCTACTGGAGTAATTTGATAATTAAAACTTGCAGATTTTGCTTGTATATGAAGCATTGAAAACATGGACTTGCAAGTGACTTAAAATCTTTTTGTCACTTGCAATTTTTATGTAACACTAGAAAGCAAACTGAACTACTTGACTATGCAAGCTTTTTATTGAATAGTGTAATTTCATGGTAAAAAAACATAAAACACCAAATTCTTATTGTGAGATTTCAAATTCTTTCAGTCCATGTAAAAACAAGAAGAAATAGAAAAAAAATGTTTCTGCAGTTCTAGCAGCTCCTTGTAAATACTATTTCTGCCGAATTATTTTAAATCACAAACATGGACCAACAACTTAAAAAATACCACATCAATTTTTTTGTGCTTTAATCCAAGCCTATTCTTGTAGAGAGAACAGCCTGGTGAATGAACAATGGTGAACATCTTCCTTACACTTGCACAAAATGCCACTTGTTCACTAAAATGGAGAAAAAGAAAAATCTACCTTAAGGTTATATTTAAATATTAACGGGTAACTGCCTTCCCACACTGGCTGCACACAGCGAAAGGCAGTAGCAGTTGAGACTTTGTAGGTTCAACCATTCAACTCCCAACCCTTAACTGATTCTCCTTAATCGCCGGCAAGTTTTACATTAGCGTTGGGATTTTGTCCAATAGGTGGAACGTCCCCAATATGTTTGGGTCCTATGGCCACTTACATTACCCATTATGACTTAAGGATGATAACAAGGACTGGTAATGGAAGAATAATTTTCAATTTTGATCTCATTATAATGTTTTTTTATTTTGTATTAAGTTCATTATTGTTTTATAGTGCTGATTTTAATTGCCTATGGATAATTAATGTAATTAATAGTATTAAATTAATAACAACATTTCGACCTCCTTAGGTCATCATCTTTTTTAACTCAATGATGACCTAAGGAGGTCAAAACATTATTTGTTTTGTGTTTTAAATAAAAGTTTTTAATACCCATAGCAGCTGCTTCTATTATATATATATATATATACGAGTGAATATAACATATACATCTACTTACATTCTTTACATTCTATAGCTTCTGAAATACAAATATAATAAGTTTTTTTTTAATATTTTATTCAGACATTGAAGATACAGATCAGCTATCACCATTTCAAAGCCATTTGTCCCCACCCCCAAATAATAATTCAGACTATTTTTTATTTATTTACTGGAATAATTGGATAACAATTAAAACTGAAAGAATGTTGCTTGTATATGAAGCAATGAGAACACGGACCAACAACTTGAAAAATACCACATCAATTTTTTTTGCTTTAATCCAAGCCTATTCTTGTAGAGAGAACAGCCTGATAATGAACAATGGTGAACGTCTCCATTACAGCTGCACAAAATGCCATTTGTTCACTAAAATGAAGAAAAAAAGTCAATTCAATAAATATAAAAGTTAAAATACAGTGATATAAAAAGCTAGACAGCAATGATGCAAAAAATTCACTTAATTTTTTTGTCACTTGTAATTTTTATGTAACACTAGAAAGTAAATTGAACTACTTGGCTATGTTAGGTTTTTACTGAATAGTGTAATTTCCAGGTAAAAAAACATAAAACACCAAATTCCTATTGTGATATCTCAAATTATTTCACAGCTACGCAAAAACAAGAAGAAATATGAAAAATGATTCTATAGTTCTAAAAGCTCTTTTTAATTACTATTTCTCCCTAATTATTTTAAATTCCAACCAGTAACGTAATACTGCAACACTGCATACCTCTTTCCAGTAGTATATGCTATACAAAATGTTTATTTGTTTTTAAGAGCAAAGCAACCTAATGGGTTATCTATACTTTGCCCACTGTCACATCAAACCATAAATTTTAGTGTTACAAGCCCTCAAGCTTACTCTTGAGCAACTGAAATGCTATATAAAAATGATATGCAAGTCTAGAAAACTACAAAATACATTCCAATGAATGTACTACAATACTTCAAAGTAGCTTTTCATTTTGTAAATTAAATCTTTGAGCTCTTTCAGTTAAATCTGTTTTACAGACTTCAATACAACTTAAATCACAATATGACTCACCTGTACCTGCATCCATCAATCTAAAACAATCTACTTACCATTAAGCACAAAAATCAAAAGAAAACAAAATATTGCACCACGATTCTATTTTGGTTTCATTTTAAGCCAAGTGTTATTAATTTATATTCAAATAAATTTGAGATTCATAAACTCTTTTAAAACTGTATAAAAGTTAGAATAATTACATTTTTAGTTAGTTTGTATGAACTTAAAGTGCAATAAATCATGACTGGAAAAGGCTATACAGAAGGTTTCTTCAAGGTTGATATGATAGTTGTCAACTTGCAAAATCCATTCCAAAATGTTTACTTTTATCTTTGCATGAACTCAGATCAGATTAGTTCTACTTTTGTTGCCTCTAACACAAGTTGAATTGTTTTAATTGATTCTTACCCCTTTACATTCCCATCTGAATTAGCAAAGAACAAGAAGCTTTACTGTAAATTTGTGATAATTGGCTAAAGGTTTCCAATGAGATTAAATGAAATTCATGCTACATCACAAGTTTCTTTATAAAAAAAAATTCAACTTAAAATTGTAATTGAAAAGTATATATTTGTACACACGTTTATCAACAAGCCATAATTCTTTGTAATGGTTATTTTAACATTCTTGCTTTTCCAGTTTAGTAAGCCAATTAGGTGCAAAGTAATATTATGTTAAGCAATTATAATCTACTAAGACTGAAGATGTCTAATCGATATCTATTTATCAAGTTAGTCATTAAAATTTTAAAATATCATGAGCCACCTGACTTAACGTTGTCTGAAAACAAATAAAAGAAGATAACCTATGCAGCAACAATTACAAGTATCCAAATAGCCCAACTTGCATTGAAGAAAAATGAGAAATTACTGAATATTTTGATAAACAAATAAAATTAACTTTTTTTGTTCATCCACATCTGTCACAGCCTCTCAAAATATCTAGACAATAAATGTAGAATTATATTTGATAAAATTAATTTTTTTAAAACACTAAAGAAAATACTAACCATTTCAAATTTCAAAACCATTTTTGAACTCTCCACCGTTATAGATAACAGTTTCTAATGGAAGTAACAGCCACAAAACTGTATATTTTATTTGTGTATTTCTTTTTTATCTTTCATATTGAGTAATTTATTAAGTAAAGCTAGAAATAGTACAATTTTGTTAATGTTTTACTGCCTGTAAAGCCGAGAAAAAACATAAACTACACTATGTAAAGCAAGAAACAAACTGCTGTTTCAGGTAATGGTGAAGATTCGATAATCAAACTACAAAAATAATGTTACAAGATCAAGTAACATAGAAACAAAGAAAGTAGGAAAAAAACTATTTAAGTTTTAAGATCCTTTAAAACTCATTCTATTCTTACCACTTTGATCACGAGGCATGGCAGGTCCAGGTTCTGGGCTCTGTTTAATAATGTTTTCTGCTTCGTCAATACTAATCTTGCATGGACTGTCTTCAACATTTACATTTGAGCTTCAAAAAATAGTACAATCAGCTTTATAATACTTTTATTTGTCTGAAATACAAATTTTCTGATAATAGTACTACAAAAAATTTCGTTTTCTGGAGAGTGAATGATTTTTGAACAGATATAAGAATGATGTACATATACGCATACACACTTAACTCCATTTGTGTTTGATATTTAGTAGAACACAAGCATTCTTGAGAAATATCACGTGAATTAACATTCAGTTTTATTACTTTTCCTAAATGGGTTTAATAAAAATTAAAAGATACAGTAAGTGATAAGCCAAGTTAAAAAACAAAACAACAACAACATTCATGACAAAAAATTATATTCCGTTATCCTGATTACTTTAGTATACAGAGAAAGTCTTTCAGAAATTTACATTATATCTAAATATGTAAAATTCTGTTCCTCTAAGTAATGCGGCTGTTCTACAGAAAAACATTTGACTTGCTATTTTTGTGCCAAAATGATTTTTATACTGTTTTGCATAAAGAGTTAAGGTGTTCAAGCTTATATTACTAAGAAGTTTTCTTTCATGTAAGTATATGTATAAAAAGTTTGAAATGAAACAAAGCCTATGCATATTAACTATTTCTATAAAAAAGACACAATGATTTTTTTTAATTTCTAGTTTAATATTAAAGAATCATTAAAAAAACGTTTTTCTAATCATATTGTTGATGAAAATATTATGTGAACTTGCAATTGTGAAACATTTGAAACAATATCTTAAAATTAAACATTATAACCATTTAAAAAAAAAGTAATTTTATAAGAATATATTTGAATTAATTTTAATCTGAAACATTACAAAACAAATGAAATATTTTGAGTCTTTTCATTGGTTCACATAGCATATTTATAACAATCGTAATGTGGTTCTGTGGTAAGATGTAAAAATTTCGACAACCAAGCTTTCATACCATGATAATTCTTCCTTTCCTGTTTTGCTCTGGATCAGCTCCTGCCAATTATCATGAGTTTCCTCTATGACTTTTTCAGCAAAGTCCTTAAGAAAGAAAGTTAATTACTGAAAACAAATCAGCCTTAGGTTTTAATAAAGTTTATGCATCTTTACAAAACAAAACTAACAACATTTTCAAGATTGAAAAACTATTTCACAATCTCATTGCTTTTCCTTGCACTAAAGCATTTCTGTAGCAGATTTATACTTTATCAAGATTTCTAGCTAGTGAGAAGAACATTATAACAAATGCAGGTTTAACATAAATTACTTTTGTTAAAACAATACCAAAACAGGTCTAAGGTTTGGAAATAAGACTGCAGATTTTTCCCCCACGATCCTCTGAGTCAGTTCATTACACATTTTTAAACCAATAACTGGTAAAAGTAGCACTTCAGGTCACTGTTCAGTTTGTGACAGATTAAGCATTATTTTAAAACAGCATTAGAAATTAAATGTTAGAGAATTCAAATATCAAGAGGAACAATTTATTTCAGATCTCATATATTAATTTCAATTTTCTTTGGTTAATGAAGTTTTTGACTTAGAAATGGGATTTAACGTATAAATCAACATTAAGATGCTAACTTATTTCCTATGTTATGTCAAAATAAAAAAATATGGAACATAATAACATGTATTTTTCTGCATTGCAATCTATTGGTTTTTCTTCTTTAATGTAAATATATTTCTAGATTTTTTTTTAAGAATAAAGATGTGAAGTGAAAATTTTAATATTCAGTAAAGCTAAGTCATCATGCTGCAGCATAAATTTAATAGTGTATTGTTTTATGAAGACTTAGTATCTCATTTTTTTTATATTTTTGGAATTTAGTCTTCAGCTACAGGCTATTGAAGTGAATCATAGCTTTCCGAGTTTGAACATTAGATGGTAATATTTAGTTGCAGCCCAAAGTACTATTTCAAGCTCCAAGCAATATTATTTGGATTTACACCATTATGTTGGGTAATCATTAAATACATACTTATGTTTCTTAGAGATAAAGTGACATTCATTAAGAGTTAATTGTTAACCACAAACTTTAATTCAGTTTAATATCCTCAGAGCAGCAATAAATAAATATGATTTAATTATTTTAAATAGAATAATTTTGATTTAGTTAACTAACCCTTGGAGCTAATGACTGTTTTCTAATTTTCACACCTAATTTTCGATACCTAATCTGGCTTATTTGGTATCTCTTATCAAAGACTATAACAACTACTAATAGCTAAATATGAATAGAACAGTTTTAAATGCCTACTAAAACTGCAGAAGCATAAGAGCTTTAAATGTCTAGGAAATAAGCTGAGGCATAATATTAGAGTAACCCCCTCCCCCCAGTTCTTTTGTTCAGTGTATAATGGATTTACTTCATGCAAATGGCACTTCAGTTTGGCTGTCTTGAGTCAAATTTAGCTAACAAGTTAATAGTTTTGAATTAACCTTTTGAATAGCAACAAGTAACAAACAACAGGTACATGTAAAATACTAAACTTACACATCTCTAGCTCAAAATCATTATGCATTGATGTATTTCTTATAGAGTTAACATGACAATTTAATTATTCAAAAGTACCAATTTTTAATTTAGTTGAAACACTAAGTGTTTGGAATACTGTAGCTTCTTTCCAATATAACACACTTAGAAAATTATTTGGTATATTACAAAGCTTCCTCTGTATAGATGAAGTTCATGTTTTCTATCTAGGTCAGGCTTAAAAATATTTCTGTTTGCTGTAACCTGACCGACCATTTGAAATTGTGACTGACTGAGAGATTTTTTTGACATTATGGCATGGGAAATTTTTATTTTAAACAATTTCTGCTGATTTACCAATCCATCTAACAAAATTTGACAACTTTAAAAATGTTTATCACCGTATTATGGTTAAAATATTTTTTCTCGGAAGTTCATGTAGTCTGCAATGATTTGGGAGGGCATCACCTGATTACCATTCAACCGATCAACGCTGACTGACCAATGCATTGAGGTTTGACAATATGGATTACCTTGTTCCCAGAACAACCCTTCATATTAAACTAATAAATACCCAAACTAGCAGGGGAGAACACAAGTCTGTTCAGCATATCTGTCTCTGAAAAATGTTTTTGCAGATTGAGGATTAGGATCAAAAACAAATTAATTCCAGTTGGAAACTTATCTACGTGGAGAGAAGTACTGGTATATTTACTTGGCAAATGGAAAAGAACCCGTAAAATTTTCGACAACAGCAATACAATTGCATCGATCAAGGTCGATATCGACCAGCAAGTGTGTGTTGCAAAAGAATTTTAAATTTCTGTAATTCTCTTCTTAGAATAAATATTGATAGTAATTGTATTCATGGTTTAACATGTTATATTTTAAGTGGTCATGGAATTAGTGCTATTTTAGAAAATTTTTTGTCAAGCAATTAAAAACAATATTACCTACCTTCATTTTAAACTAGTTTAGGATTACAGCAAATAAACATATTTTTAAGTCTGGCCCTGTGGGAACGTTTCTAGTTCAGTTTTGAGTAATTCGAATTTCATCACAACAAGAGCCTTGACTCTCATGATAATAAATTCTCTTTCAAGGTTTTTAAAATTTTTGTATTGCACAAAAAATACTGCTTAATAACTGTTTTTTGAGCCTATCATTTTCTCGTTTTATTATCAAGTTTTAAAATGAGACAAGTTATCTACGGAAAAATATCCATCCTTAGAAATAAAGATATGCTCCTCCTATTTATACTTTGGTAGGATTTTGCATAATTTACACTAACTAGTGTAGTGTAATGATCTCTGGTAAATGCACGTGTATCGCAAATACGCCTTTAAAATTAACAAGATAAACCTAGTACAATCTTAAGTTAAAAAGTCTGAAGAAAACAATCAGCAATTATATAAAAGTTATTAAAAGTATTAACTGAATTTTTACTTTAGTATTTTATCAAATCAAACATCTATGTTTTCAACTTATCATGTGTATAGCTGTGAAGCTACTTTGCTGTTATACAACACTTTATATAATTGCATTAAATACTACAAATTCTACATTCATTTGTATTTGGTCCAGAATTCCAGCTAAAAATTTAGAAATGTTTATATTTTTTTTGCTACTTGCAGTCAAATAGACTCAATAATATGCTACAAGAACTTGCTTGTTAACAACACAGGTTTTATACATGAAATTTGTTTCTAATTGTACAAAATATCTTCACACATTTTAGTAAACAAAGTTTTTCAACTATAACACACATAGTCTGTTGACATAAACTGCTTACATTTCCATAATCATCATATTACACAACATGTAAAATGGTATTTCAATACTTTGTACATCTTCAAAAAACATTTATATAATCATCATATTACACATAACATGTAAAATGGTATTTCAATACTTTGTACACCTTCAAAAAACATTTATATAATCATCATATTACACATAACATGTAAAATGGTATTTCAACACTTTGTACATCTTCAAAAAACTGTTTTTATCTTACCTTGTTCTTTGCTTCACCATCAAAAGCAAACTGATTTTGAGGTTTTCCATCTGGCATTTTATAGATTTTGAACCATTCATGGGTTGCCTAGAGTAAAAATTTACAGGAAAATGAAAGTTTTAAGTCACACACACACACACACACACACACACACATATATATATATATATATATGTGTGTGTGTATGTGTGTATGCACACATACATTATAACTTTCTAATCAGCTAAAACATATTCTAACCAGTTGATACGTATCAAAATGAATGACATTTCTGGTATTTGTATGCAAAAACAAAAGAGTAAGCTTATTTCTTAGACTAAAATATATTAATTAAAACATTTTAATAACATAAGTTACCTTGAACACTGTTTATAAAATAATACATACCTAATATGTACTAAAATTATAAATTCAAAAAGATTCAGGTCCTGTAATTATGTTTTACCATCAACTCAGAGAGAACCTAGTAGAGCACGAAAATTGAAACAAAACTAAGTATGTCATGTCAAGTAAACATAAATACAATGAAGCAATATTTAGTAAATGGATACTCTTAATACTATACCAAAGTAAAACAGATAAGTAGATATTAACCAAACGTTTACATATCTATGACTTACCTGTATAAATCCAGGCATATGCTTTTCAACATCCTCAATATCTGTGAAGGTTCAACAGAAAATAAGAAATATTTAGCATACACTTGTAATGTGATAACTAACTGCTAAAACAAGCAAAACCCTGATACTTAGATTCATGGCTTTACAATGCAAAAATATATATATATACACAACCCACTAAAAATTATTAAAACTCAGTACTAAATTAGTACAGGATATTTTTCTCAGCATATAGAAATTATTAAAAGCAAAACTTCAACTGTTCATGGCCACTACCATATTGTATATTATACAAATTCAAAAAAGCAGTTTGCTTTTATTATGAAAGAGAGAAGTTGAAAGTTTGCCATGAGTAGTGGCACCTCAGGTGTTTGTGATTTTGAAAATGAACACATATTCTAGGATTTCTTTAAACAGTAAATGTTTCTACTATAGCAAATATTACCAATACCTTTACTTTCATGTGCAAATCATTGACAGTTTTGTTTACCAATAACTTCTATTAAGGTATATTCTGAATGAGCACTTAATTACTTTTACAATTCAGATTACTCCACACCTTTACAGCTTTTGTATATTTACCTTAGCACATTTTCATTGTAAGTTGGAAATTTACAATATTATGTATTTTCACATACAAGATATTTTTGTGCATGTTCTCTCTCTCTCTCACACAATTTCTGTGAAAGTTTGAGGTACCAACATTTAAGTTTAAGAAGAACTGGCATCAGAAGTTCATTTTGAAGCATTAAATGAATAACCTATTCCAAGTAGGTTCTTGTTTAGCCTTAGTTATATAATTGCATTGATCTATGTATGGATCTACCAGTTTTCAAGATTATTAAATAGCATTTCATTCTTTTTATTTACTGTATACTCTTTTTCCAGTGGCTGGAGATTAATTTAATTATTTTTTTGCAAATTGTCTTTTAGCTGGTGCCAAAGAACTTCAAATGGGGTAACACTGAAATCTGACATTATCTCTTACTCCTGTAGTGTAGACAATCTCACCCTATTATAACCCCCACAAAACAATGTTTCATTGTTTTACTTACACACTCTTACTTAAACTTTTCATGATCATATCTTTGTGCAAAACTACTTCTACTTCCAAAAAGGTCTGTTTTGTCAATCCCAGTTGCAAGAAAATACTGCAATGTTCTCATTTTCATTATGTATAGCAATAATGTGTTCATTCTCCACACTCTAGTTCACATTCTCACACATAATTAAGTTGTAGTACTATTTACAATGGGAGTAACTGGGAGTAATATCACACAGAAACACAGCAAGAAAAGATCCTGTTAATCTTTTGCAATTCATGATTGTTACAATGTGTGTGTGTGTGTATATATATAACCTGCAAAGTAATTACGAGTATATTTATGCAGATAAGATGCTCAAAACAAGTATTTTTTTGCACATTTTGTACTAATATGATTTTGCTTATTTCTATGAAAGAAAAATTAATTATATAATGTGTGAAAAAAAAGAATGCAAATTCATATAATCTGTCTTTCCACATAGTAAAAATAGAAAACATTGTATCATTGAAATTTAGCAAATAAACTTCTGAGAATTACCTACAACTACTAGTAACTAATATATTTATTGAATTTATACTAATTTTGACTACATGTAAAAATATTAAATAGTCTTATCAAACTGTTTACTTTTTTCTGTGTGAAAACACAACTTACCATTCAGCTGGTCTGCCAAAGGGTCATTAACATCAATTGCAATAATCTTCCAATCAGTTTCACCTATATATAAATATACGTGAAAAATAATATGAAACCCTGTCTTTTTAAAGTACATAAATATTATAACATAAATGAAAATTTTAGTTTTCTACATACATTATCTATTGAAAGATAAGCATTACTAAATAGAATGTTTTCTTGCCCGAAAGTATAGGTTTTATTTGCAAAGAAACTATCAACCCTTGGAAATATAGACTCGTATCTTGATTTTTGCAAGTATATTTTCATCTCTGCTAGTGATTTTATTATTACAGCCCTTTGTTGCCAATTTAATTATTTCTTCTCTGCTAAGTACAAAGCTACATGATGGGCTATCTGTGATCTGTCTGCTGTGGATATTGAAATACTCAGATTTTAGCATTATAAACCCTCAATCTCTTTGTTACCATCCTTTTATGACATCAAAGCATGAAGCCCGAGATATTAATAATGAAGCTTAGCTTTGTACGATAGCTAAAGCCAATGGTTAAAAATGATTGGATGAAAGAGACTCTCTAATGTATTTATACATAGTTGATTTAGCAGTAATTTGTGGATTCTTTACAGATACTCAGAGCTCCTGTATGGGTGAGCAAAAGATTCTAATATGAAGTTTACAATACTTAAGAAGAAACCACAGATCTGGGAATTGTTTAACACATTCTTTTAATGTTTGAAACCTACAGAAATATCCTTTAAGACAAGCCATTATATAAATTTAGTCAGGTTTGGTGAGTATGGCAAGCTACAGTAAACTATTCAGATTACTGTATTCAAATAACACAGAATTAAAATAACTTAGCATTTATTGCAAACAAGCTATATTTTTTAGATATAAACTGATCTTGACCAAAAATATTATTGGCAAAAATCATGATACCATGCCTAACAAAGGTAATGGTGACAACTATTTTCAAAAGTAAGATGATATATCATGAAAACTCTTAATTTTTAACATATTTTGAATAAATTATAGCAGTAAGTGGTGACTACTTCTACTGGCAAAATAGTCACAAAATATGTATTAATGAATGTCAAATATGTTGAAACTGAATGAACAGATAAAAAGAGCTTTGTGATCAATAAAAAAAAAATTCAGAGATGAAAGGAAGCATTTGTTTAACTTTTTTTTCTTCAAAACAATGCCTCTAATTACAACAAAATTTTAAGAATTTCATAACCTTATAAAGTAATCAAAATAGTAAACCAAATTATAAGAATTTCTAAAGCAGAAACCAGATACAAGTTGAATGTTTTTGATGAATTTCATGCAACTTGGTTAAGTATTTTCACTGTGAGAAGTGAAACAGAAATCAAGGATTAACAGAGGCACCTCCCCAGTCTGACATGGGCTTAACTTGCAATTGTGACTCCAAAAGTAATATCAATAATTCTTACCTTCATCAATGAGAGCCATGGTTCCAAGAACCTTGACTTGAATTACTTGTCCCCTACTTGCCACCTACAGAATATAAAATTATACAGATACAACCTTTTTTATTCTATCATGTGCCATTGCAAAAAAATTCTTAGTATTTTTCATCCGTTTGAAACTTATCCTTGAAGAAAAACAAAAAACACCTTTCCCCCTTCCAAAAAATGGCCGAAAAAAAATTCAACAAGTAGAAGAAGTGGTGATAACACATTTCTGATTTATCAAGGGTATTCAAAAACTTCTGAATCTGATACACAGGTTTAAGAGTTTGAAAAACTTAAGATGTTCTTATTTTGAAAGGAGATAGATCAAGAATTATACAATAATTATGATAGAAAAATGAAACATCTTTTTTACAACAGATATTTTTACTATACAAAAAGAAAAATTTAAAGAAAATATAACATATCAAATAGTTTACTCTCAACATGTTACTTCTCATTTTCGATCCCCTGTCTTGCAAATATATCAAGCACATTTGTTACGTATTTAACCAAATTAAAAAAAAAGTTCAGTTACCAAACAAAAATTAAAAAGATAATCAAGTTAACTGAAGTTAATATCAATGGCTGATTATTACTAAAAACGACAAATTCTGAAATTTATTTATTAAATTACAAAAACCTAAGAAATCTTATACAGTTTCAAACATGTTTGGAAATGGTCATTTAAAGAACACTATATTATAATACACATTTTGCTTTGTGACATGTATCTTAACCTCAAATATTTGATGTCACTCACCCTGTAACCAATCTCACACACATCAATTGGGTCATTGTCTCCCTTACAGCCAGTTGAAGCATCAACTTTACCAGGGTCCTCCCAGGTCTACAAAAATAAAATGTTGATTAAACACCAACTACTGTTTGAAATATGGAGAAACTATTTACTTGTTACAAAATTTGCTTTAAAAATGTAATTGCTCTATTACAAACTCAAAATTATTTTTAATCTTTGCCAGAAATAATCATTCTTCTTCAAATAATAGAAATCCTTATATTTTGTCTTTTTGATGATGAGTTTGATTTTTCATTTAACCTATTTTTTTTTTGAGTGTCAGAAAATCTCACTTTATTAAAAAAGTCTTCCAAATTAACATTCATTCATAAGTTGTATTAAATTACATCCCTAATATTACAAGCATTGCTACAGTTTAAAAATTCAATTATAGCTAAATCATCACTTCTATTCCCCTGTTAATTTTTTTTAATCAAAACAATACTACAACTAATTTATTAAAAACAAAATCAGGATCAATAGAAGAAATTTATCAAGTTGATGAGTTCATGGATATGTTATCTGAGTGCTGAAAGCATCACCTCTTGTCAGTTTTTTCATAAACACTCTTTGTAGGAATCCTCCTTGGTTCGCCACTCCAGTGACTGGGAATGGGTAAAGACTCACTCCATGCTTCACTTTGAGTCTGGAGGAATGTCACACTGGAGAAAGTACAATGGGTGTCCACAATTTCCTATTTTGAAAAGTAGACCATCCCCAATTTATGCAATCAAAGGGTCAGCAGGGATGGGCAGAAATTCCCTTTTGCTTTACTCACAACAGTCTATCATTGGGTTAAACTTATGTATATCTAAGTATATACCACTAGGCATGTCAATAATGGTCTTGTGGAACACCTCATCTCTATAACTACCATTATAGCTCTAACGGTAAATAGTGCAAGTTTGAGTAAAACTACACCTGGCCAGGCAACACCAACCACAGAGTGGGATCCTATTAGAAGCTTTAAAAGAAGGTCCCTGAAAATAAACTATAAATGAAATATTGAGAAAAGACATACCTAAGTCAAAGGCAAACAGAAGTGTGTAGAACTGCCATGGGAGGGAGATGATATTTACCTGTAAAAGATATAGCCTGATAGTGCAGATAATGAGTGACAAAAAAATAGGGAGTAGTCCACATTCCAGACTGAACAGTATATTCCAACAGACAATGAAGACAAGTAGTCAAAGACAGGATGATATGACAAATTTGAAGAGAAGAAACTCTGAGGAGATGCCAACCTTCCATGGATAAGTCTGAATAAGGCAGCCTAAGGAGTTGACGAACCCAATCAGTTAGTGTGACAGGGGATAGAACACAGGAAACAGAGAGGTTTCACGGAATAAAAGGTTGGGAATGTGAACCCTAAAAAGAGGCAGTATGTGCCACATAACACCATAGGGAGCGAACCTGACAAAGAAGCAGATCAGGATCAGAATGGGAGTTCAGGTGGGAAATGGAAGGTAAAGAAATGGGTGTGAAAGCCAAATGACCTTCCTGGAAAATGGGTCTTAAGGAGGAAGTACCAATCTGGATATATGATGACATAAGAGGAATGGTAAAGGATTCTGGTAACATTAATAGAATAATAAAAAAAAAGTGTAGAGTATGACAGACCAAAATAAGAAGGTGCCGAAAAAAGTGAATCTTCTCCTTGATTTTCTTCATCCTCAGCAACATTGTCAGGTTGAAAAGAGGAAATTACCAGCCAAATGTAGGAATCTAGCTATCTGAGAAACAAGACCTGTACCTCCTCAGCAGATAAACTTGATCCTGATGCCTGGGTAGTCATTCCAGAAGCACTGTCTACTGTAATGGGAACTTCTTTTGTCGATACATTGAATCGTGAAGTCATTCTAAGTTATCATACAATTCAGTAACAATAAACAACTGCAAAACAAAAATTGAAATAATTGAATGCAAACAGTAAAATAAAGCTGTTGAAGAAGGTATTGAAATGTCAATGAAATACAGTCATAAACAGTAGTCATATGTGATTAAAAAAAAACACACGTCTAAACAACACATGCCAATTGAGAAAGTGAGTATAGAGAGGAAACATCAGACGGAGATAGCTGCATCAATATAACTGGTGCTATGCTATTGGTGGTGAGTAGTTACATGATATATAAACGTTCAAAAGTGTCACAAAATTTTTGGAGTATATAGACTGGTGCACTGGAGGTAAGACCATATCGGAATATTATATATTGAGCTTTGACATGCTGCATTTGACAAAATTGACGAGCAGGGACTCTTGAATCATCTTGTACAATAAAATTCTACAAATAATTTAACTCACTAAACTATTTGATAACTTTTATTAAGAAGTATTGCATAATACAGAAGAAGATGTTTGTTAGAAATGCATGCAGTAAGAAAATGTACAATACCTGAGGAAAGGCTCCATAATTCCAGATGTAACCATGATGTGGAAAACAGTTATGAACGAAACGTAGTTTTCCTTTCTTAAGATCTTGATGAATAGGGTTCAGAGGCTCCTTTGTATTGATCTGCACGGGAAAATTAAGAATCTTAATGTTTTGGCATGCATTTAAAACCTTTCATTATAAAATAGTTTACATTTCATCTACCATCAGCATAAAGATTATTTTTCTATTTATTCAATAGTACAGTGGAACGCAAATAAGCCAAATTGAGAAAAACAAAGACATAGTTGCAGTAACACTGAAAAAAAAAGGGTAGATGTGTAGATAGATATAGCTTTGGATATTTTAACACATTTTGTTACATTTTCAATGGAACACAAATAAGCCCAATTGAGAAAAACAAAGACATGGTTGCAGTAACACTGAAAAAAAAAAAAAAAGGTAGACGTGTAAGATAGATATAGCTTTGGATATTTTAATGCATTTTTTTACATTTAAAATTTTTTGAGGATAAGCAGGTTTGTCATAATTGTTTATTGTATTGCTTATACATTCAAAATATAAAGAAGGTGAAACAATGGGAATGCCTACACACCATTAACAACTAATGACACAGAGTAATAGAATAAATTTAGATTTTGGCCCCAAGAATTCTGTGCTATGCAGGAACATTTATGTACTACTGATAAGAGCATAATCACCCTGGATGGCATTTCAGAAATTAACTATGTCAGCGAATGACAATTCCTGACTTCAGAAAGGTCAATTTTTTAATATAAAGCTGTTGATGGAGACTAGGAAGTAGGGCTGAATAAAGGTTTTAATATAAGATGCACAAATCACTCCTTGGAAAGCTCTTACTAGTCCTAATAAAAAACTACACAAATGTGTAAGAAATAAAGATGCTAATAAAAGCACAGCATCAGGAAATTATGGAGGGCTGGTTAAAGAAGTAAATGAAAAGTATTTTGCCATTGGAAGCCGAGGAAAAAAGTTTTTCACCGGAGTAGATATTTGAAAATCATCAAATTTGTTTCATTACATACTCTTTACTGTGAGAAAACTGTTTATTGGTAGAAAATACTGTCTTGAACAACTTTCTCAAGTCCAAGAGTTTCATTAGTAATTTTGATGAGGTACATTCCATAAACAACATAACTTAATTCACAGACTTTTTTTTCTAAAGTTACCAGAAAGAGTAGATATTTGTTAAGATTTAAAATGTGTTTTGTAACTGTAAAAACAAAAAGATCTAGGAAAAAACCCAAGAAGTTAAAAGGCTATCAATTTAAAATATTTGGTGCATCATATTTAAGAATTCATTGCTACAGGAAATTAAGATGACGTAAATTACAGTGGACATAATAATACTTTAGGATGCATATATACATTACAAAAGTAAATTTGTGACTTTCCAAGACTCGTACTCAAATTTTCAAGACTCTGAAATCCTGCCACACAGGATTAAAATTGCATTTTCCTGGCATTTTTGTTCATCAAATATGCCTGTTAGTGGAAATTGCAATGGGTTTAGTGAGGCACGACATTCATAATGGTTGACACAAAATATAAACAAACCTGATTGTGATACCTACTCTTTTTTTTTTACTTTTTTTTTAAGATCAAGCAAATTTATGGGGGACTTTTTATTGAAACTGAAATTTCAGGAATTTTCCAAGACCATGGCTTAAAAACATCTAGTTTCCCAGGATTTCAGGGACCTGTGTAAACAATGATACACCCATGGAGCTTTTAATATGATGTTCATGGGAGTGAATGGGTTAATAAGCAACAAAATAAATATCTGTAGAATTACATAGAATTCTACTAAGACTCTCTGTACTGAATTTTAGAGGAACTTAAAAATAATAACCTTATATGTGTATTTTTAGTATGATTTATAATGATCATTAGTGAAATTAGCAGAACTTAAACCAAACAGATGAAATCATTCACAGATTACCTTTATTATTATTTTTACTGTAATAAATATCCATAATTTCAGGCAGAATTATTTTACAGTATCTTTTCACCAATATATTATATTTCTTTACAATTATTCAAGCAGTATAAATATGCTAAAGTGCACACACACACACATGTATATCTATATGTAAACATATCTAACAGTGGAAGATAGATATTATTTAATATCATTCAAATATTATAAAACATACTGATACACTTTTCAGGCCATAAAATGTGGCCCAAACAATCACTTATCAACAATCTTATGCTAAAAAAGCTAACAAGGCTTCAATTATGCACAGTTTATTCAGATACTACATACTGCTTGACTAGAATGAGTGCCAAATAAATGGATCTCAAACACAGATCTAAGTCAATTTTCAATTAAAATGCAGAGGCAGGTGTGGTATCTTAACTAACATTAACCAAGGCTATCAAAGTTCATCAAAAGATCAATATGCAAAGGTAAGCAAAAGTGACCATAATATTATCTACAGAATATCTTATACAATAAAATAAAGTGAATTAGAAAAAAGAAAGAAGTTAGTTATTCAGTTAAATAAAAGCAATATTTATATATCTAGCTAAAATTTTCATTAAATTACCTCCATTTTAGCATTAGTCCAACGTGGTACTTCAACCACCATGTTATAAATCTTGTTTTCTTTGTCAGCAAATAGAGGAATATCATGGAATGGTGATATTGGGCCAAGTTCATTGCCTAGAACAAAGTAATACTAAGCATCACAAATGTTTCACTTTATCATACTTTACTCTGCTTCCTTAAACTAAAATTTAAAAGCAAAGGTTTAGACTTATTACTGGAACTATAAAAGTACAAAAAAATACATAGCCTGTGGAAATAAGACTAAAGTATCATCTTCAAACAAGTCAAAAGAGGTGGAAGAAGTCTGTTAAAACCTAAGAAAATTCTTGGCAATTTTTCTCAGTTTCTAACAATAGCATTAAGCACATTTAATTTTAAGTATGAATTACATAACTGGGATAGTTTGAATTTGGCTGACCCAGAGATTTTTCAAACATCACATTATACATAACTGATCCATAACTTGAAACACTCAATCATAAAATATTCAGCATTTGTAATGAGCTTTAACTTAGTTTATTTAATATTACTGAATATTAAACTGAAAAAAGTTTTTGATAAGTAAACAAGTAAGATGGCAATGATATGAACATATAGAAATCCTTATTTATTGTCCACAATTCATTAAATTAAATACTGTTCACATAAACATGGGATAGGCTAACAAATTAGATGACTAATGATAAGATATAAAAAAAAAGTCACATGCAAGACAGTAAACATACACAGGCATTTCACTTGAAGAAATTGCTACCTTGCCCAAAGATCATATACTTTATAATTGACAATGTAAAGGAATTTCTGTAGACTTTGGTTCACATACCAAGAGTTCCCAGATATGCACACATGACAAAAATAAGAACATTTGTTATTGACAACAACAAAATGGAGATTCTTTCTGTCAATACTGTTTGTGCCTCTGTTAATATTTCCCTACCCTGAACAATATTTTAATGAAAGAATAATCACAAGATCTGTTTGCACTAATTAGATTATGCCTAATAAGGAAACCTTTTTACTGTTAAATCATGATTTCCTTGGATTAAAAACTTTTCTCCAACACAAAAGAATTATATTGTTTCATCTTAACCTTTACATAACACATTTATATAAAAAAATAAAAAACTATCAAGTTCACAATCCTCTGCATATCCTGCATGCTAATGGCTTCTAACAAGGGTAATTAATGTTTTATATGTGAACAAAGAGTATTCAATGAACTACCATCATGTATAGATCAGACAGATGTATGGAATACTATCTTGATAATGGTTACCACACAATATATATCAAAGGTCATTACTATGTATAAACTCAACTCGCATATTATCTGTATAACATATATATATATATATATATATATAATGGACTTAAAACATCTTAGTTTCCCAGGTATTTCGAGGGACCTGTAGTAAACA